GAGAGAAAATGTTTTGAGAATGATGTACAAATGCGCTTTACACAATTGGTGTGTGTATGGATTGCGATAACAGTTGTATGAGCCCCTAATAAAATGTTTAAAAAAAAGAAAGAAATGATAATACTGGCAAACAGTATTGTGGGTTTTATATTATGTTCTCCTCCTAGATATTCTAATAAAATTAATTTCCAAAGGGTTGTTTGGGGAGGTGAGGAGCAAATCGGAGTGCAGTGTAGTAACGATGAAATATGCAATTTTCCTCTGATTCTTAAATGCTTCCTCCAACCCACTACCATCATCCCAATTCTTACATATCCGGCTGGACAGGAGGAGGTACACTGGCACAGATAGGAACTGGAAATACAGTGAACCCAGGACAGATGAACCCCCCCCCAACCCCCCCCAGGACCAGTGGAGAGAATGGCGATGGCGGGAGGGTGGAGGGAAGGAGAGGGAGAAAGGGGGAACAGAAGACAAGGTCTACATGTGGCCTCCTCCCTGGGGGACGGACAGCGAGAAGTGGGTGAGGGAGACATGGCATGGGGTAAGATATGATAAAATAATAATAATTATAAATGATCAGGGGTTCGGGGGGAGCAGGGAGGGAGGGGGGAAAATGAGCTGACACCAGAGGCTCAAGTGGAAAGTGGGTGTCGTAAGAATGATGAAGTCAACGTATGTAGTAAATGCTGGACACAGATGACGTATGTACAGATTGTGATGAGTTGTATGAGCCCCTAATAAAATGATTATTTAAAAAAAAAACTATAAGGCTCAAAATTAAAAAAAGAAGAAGCCTAGTAGCATAGTGGGTTACAAGTTGGACTGCTAACCTCAAAGTCAGTAGTTCAAAACCACCAGCTACTCCACAGGAGAAACTGGAGGCGTTTTGCTTGCATAAAGATTTACAAACTCAGACATCCATAGGAGCAGTTCCATTCTGTCCTATAGGGTCACATTGACTCGATGGCAATGAATTTTCTTTTTTTTTTGAAGGGCTGTTATTAAAGAATAGAAGCAATCACACATGTTTGATTTGGGCCACATGCTGTTCCATTTTTAAATTTGAATTGTTTGACAACACAAATATAAAAACATTTAAAGAAACTTTGGATTTCTGGTTTGTCCTGCTGAAGCTTGCAAAGTCTGGAATCTCCCTGGGACAGCAGTGAGCCTGAGGTGGGCATTTCACTCTTTCGTTGCTCTGCTAGCCACCACTCCTTCCTGTCCACTCCTGCTTCACTTGCTCATAACCTGCCCGGCCCTGGTGAAACATTTGTGTTGTAACTTCCTATGAGAGACAGAGTGTGTGTGGTTGAAAGGTGGGGTTAATGCAAGCGCCCTTGGCTAAGGACATGGAGTTGGATTTGGATGGAGGCTTATGGACACAGCTTATGTGCTTAATTGACATGAGCTTAAAACTGTGGTATAATTGGCCTCTGGTTGATTTGCTTAGACCCAGAAAATGTGGTTCTTTTGCACTCACAGATCAGAAATGAAGTGCTTCATCTGACCACACTGATTCACAGAGAATTAGAAAGATCTTTTCCAGGACAAGTTCAGCCTTGATTGGTGCCCACATTCCCAGCGCCAAAGCAAAGCCCATGCTGTCATTTTTAAACCTTTAGGATTTTACAGGAATATAAGCAAGATAAGACAAAGAAGGACATTTAGTGGAGTTGGCTAGGCCTCCTTAGACAAAACAAAAGAGAATATTGAAGCAATAATCTGAATAAACCCATCTAAACGAAATATAAGCAAAAGGTGGCAGTCTTGCTAGAATTATGTAGCTAATGATCTCAACCCCTGTGCTGGTGAGGAGGTCTGGTCTAAGAAGGCCTTTCCAGTGAACTGCCAGATTCACAAGTAGAGAGAAAATGTATTATTGTAGCTGCAGCTGTGAAGTCCCATCCTGGTTGGGGGGGGGAGTGTCTCTCTGTCCGTAGCACTTTTAGAGGTCAACTACACCTTACCTTTGGCTCTCAGTCCAGCATGGGTGGCTGGGAAAAGGGACTGTACAGGAAATGTTTCAGGACATGACTGCATTGCTGGTTAGATGAAAATACTACTGTCCCCGTACAGTCACACCAGTTGTGTAATTTTTCCAGTCATGAATCTATCTTAAAAAAAAAAGTAGCAGTAAAAATGTCCATGTAACAGGAGGAGAATCAAGGGAAATAGAGGAAAGAGCTGGGAGG